GAATTATAAAGAAATGTAGGTTAGTTATAGGTGCAGTTTATATTTGTCACCTGAACTTAGAGAACATAACCAAAATTGGTTTTTGTCATCTGAGAACCTAAGCTTTCAATGCCGATCCTCATTTGTACAGAAAAGCGTAAGAAAACTTAAAAGAGCAAACACTTCAGCCAGCAGAAGTTTCAGGATATTTAAAATATCTGTGTTTGCATCTTCATTGCCTTGTAACTTGCATAGACCTCACCCAGCACTACTGGGTAGAGTTTGGTAGAGTTTGATATCTGTTTTGCACTGGTATGATGACTGCACGAAGTGCAGTAAAGAACCAGTGTGTGTGTGTGTGTGTGTGTGTGTTCCTCATCGGGCCTTGTATACTGCTTCTTCTTATGGGCAGAAAGAAGAGGAAAGGTTAAGAGCTTCTATTCGCAGAGAGTCCCAGCAGCGAAGAATGCGAGAGAAGCAACACCAGCGTGGATTGAGCGCAAATTACTTGGAACCTGATCGCTATGATGAGGAAGATGAAGGAGACGAGGCGATCAGTCTGGCAGCTATTAAAAACCGCTATAAAGGTGGCATCAGAGGTAAAAGTAAAACCTGAATAACATGTTCACTATCAAACAAGCGCAACTTCTATTGTTGGGGCATACTAATTTAACAGGGCAGACCTGATGAGGTTTCATAGGTTTTTTCCAACAAATAAGGAAAGAACATAGGGAGTTGTCAGTTTGAGTAATTTGTGTATTGTTTGTCACAGATGTTGAGTTTGTCACAAATAGTGTATAGTTTGTCACAAATAGTTCGTCACAGATGTTGAGAAATTTTGACACATTTTAGAGGGAATAAAGGCAAATTGGGAGTTTTCAGTGACCCACCGTTCAAGAACTCTGGGAAGGCATTAGTGTGTGGCGATCCCTATTTACCTTACTCATTTTTTCCATCTCAGAGGAACGAGCTAGGATCTATTCTTCAGACAGTGATGAGGGATCAGATGAAGACAGAACACAGAGGCTGCTGAAGGCAAAGAAACTCACTAGTGATGAGGTGAGCAAAGCATTTTGTTCTGTGAGGAAAATCAGTTTACTGCCACGGAACAGTTTGTTTTTGAAACTGATTATTACTCTGAAAAATGACCCCTGCTCTTTACATGAATACCTTGCTGCGCCCCATTTATCCAGCTAAGATTTTATCAAATGAAATTTTTCAAGAGTTCGATTGAGACTCTTACATGCTTTCCATAACAATCATTAGTGTCTAACTCTTAAAGAGCCTTTTTTTGCAGGGATCAGGAGTGCTTTTCAAAGATGACTGGTATCTTTTTTTGCTGTGTACAGATAGGAGAACTGAGGAACCAGGGGGTTGCCATGCTTTTCTGATCAAGGTTAGACACTGAGCCAGTAATAGGTGATCTGGGTTCTTCCAAGTTTGAGTCCCAGTTCAATGTTTCATCTACCAGGCATTGCTGTACTGCCTGTCCCTGTTTATGTCAACAGAGAGAGCCTGTTTCAAAGGCACTACTCACTTTTTGATGTTTTTTGCATTGAAGAGTTAAACAGTAGTGTGAAGTTTAATGCATGGGTAATGGACATCATTCCATGGTCTTGACTTGTACCATCCTGGACATTACAGCAAGAGGAGGACTACTGGCTGCAATATTGCTCCTCCTGTGTTTTTGTTTTTCCTTAGAATTGTTTCTAAGAACAGTTGCTGACTTTCATTTAGTTGGCTGATACAGCAAAGCAAATCTGCATGTAACATCACATTTGTGCATGTTGTACCTTTAAACAGAACAGCTCCCTCTAATGTTGCATGCAAAGGAACAGTTTCTCTGGATTTAAAATGTTGGTTTAGGATTTAAACTCTTAATGTCCTGGCCCAGCAGCCTGTGCATTATAGATCGCTGTACTGCCTTGCCCTTGTATCAATTATTCTGCTTCCCACCCGCACTCTGTGGTGAGAGAGAATACATATAATCCATGTTTACCCAGCCTAATGTTTTCAAAGCTATTAGTTTTCAAAGCTGTTAGTGTATAAAGAGATGATACATTTGCTCTTGGCAGCTTGCTTTCCTTTTTCCGTCCTGTTTATGGCCATTATTTATGGAAAATCAAATGTCTTACTATATATGGAATGATAATCCATACAAGTTAAAATGGAAGGTTTATTAGGCCAGTGTAGCTTATGGAATATTCTCCAGGGCTTTGTACAATCTTGTTTTTAAATGAGTCCCTCTGTGAGGCTTCCACGTCTTCTCTTAGGAAATGATTTTTCTAATTAATTGTTTTAGCTGTTCAGCCTAAATTTCCACCAACTGAATTTTATCCCTTTGCTTCTTGTGATTCATTTTTTCTATGCCATTTTAAAAACAGTTAACTATTGTAGTGACTACAATATCAGCTCAGGTGTTCAGCTTCAAAGTTGGCACAAGGCTTTATAATAATCAGGAAGTGTTTTTTCTTATCTTGGTTAATGAACAAAACTCCATAATTGCACTTTTTGAAACTTAAAAATATATCTGCTGTAATGTAGCACATAGCTTTCCATGGAATATGATATTATATGCCTATACTGTGAAAAACATTCTACAGGAAAGATTAATCTTATTTCTTCAAAATTATTTGAATCTGCATATTGTGCACATGTGTAATATGGGAGAGTAGGGCTGGTCATCTGGTCAGTCCCACTACTCAAGGCAGGATCATCCCTGACTAAACCATCCCACCCATCATGTTAACACCACTTCAAGTATATTTGTGTTCCTGGTCTAGGTTAAAAGTGGGATGTTGGTTATGATTCTGTTCTGAATGTGTGTTCTTAGAGCTGGGTGTTTATAGTATTAGTAGAGTAGTATTTATGTTAAATAATTACCAGGACTTGGGATACAGAGAAATAACTGCAAATAAAGGATTGGAAGCTGTGGTATATTTAAATATATATGTGGTGTTTACTTTTAGATTTGCTGACTTTAAATTTGTGTTCTGGAAAGTTGAGGCACAATAATGTGTTACTTGTTATAGACGAGTGGAAGCCAGCCTTTTTGACAGGCATGCCACCATTAGTGCTGTATCTCCCCAAGTGCCATTCTAATCCCCTTCCCCTGTCTACTTTGCTGTTCTGCTTTCTGTTCACTGCCTTGTACTCTTTGCCCAATCTGCTGCCTATACCTATTCAGTTCTGCTGCATAGTGCTCACACAGGCTATCTGTGCCACTTATGGCACACCTGCCACAAGGTTAGCCATCCCTGTTACAAATTAAGTATGTTTGGACAGGTATTGGACTCTGCTGATATACCTAGCTGCTTGATCTAAAATTCTGTTCTTCTCTTTTGAGCAAATGCTGCCAAATGTTTCTTCTGGGAATATCAATATGATTTTTAATTGTGATTTTAATTAGGCTTTAGGATTTTTAGTTTTGTAAAGGAGAGGGACTACTGAGTTACTCACTGTGATGCTTTGAGCCACAGTCATCCTCCATTTTAAAACAATCTGAGTTAGGGCTACAGTTCACAACATAGCCACATGAGGGAGATCAAACATTTTAAAGAAAAAAAGTTAACTTAGTAGCAATACATACTCTTGTATTAACACAGAAGAAAACATGGATGCACTTTTTTATACAGTGTATAAAGAACTGCGTTCATCCATAAAATGCAGTAAAACATTACTAATTTGCAAAAAGACCTTAGTTTTGCATATTGTGCAACTAATACAGATCCCGGTGTTTGTGACAGCTGGTCCTCAAAATGCAAAACTTGAAATGATTGAGGCAAATATTTGTTTATAAAAGGCATGTCATTTTCTCTTTACTGTAATATAAGGAAATTCTGTTGTACAGGAAAGTGAGCATGTTGGGTAGTCTTTTTCAGTCTCTTTTGGTGTTTCTAATTCTAAACTAGGGGTTTCAGGTTTTAACATCTGAATCCTGTTCAGCAAAACACTGATGTGTAAAAAGTAGAGCAAAAAGAAGTGCTGATAGAATGTTCCAAGTCCCTGTTGAATTTTGTTGCTGCTTTAACTCCAGCTAAGGTTTATTGCTTTTTAAAAAATGAATTCAAAGAGGGCCCTCTTTTTCCCTCCCCCACACTGCCAAAGGGAAACCTATGCAGTGGGCACATAACCCCTGCTGCAAAGAAAGGGCATGGAAGCAGGGCTAGGCTGCGCAAATAGCTCGGGCTGCTCGGAGCAAGCAGCTACAAGCAGCTGTACTAGGGTCCAGAGTCCCGGCCCACCTCGTTGCTGGCAGCAGTTGCACACGTGCCTCAGGGAGCATGGGGAAGGGGCCAGGGCTCTGCTGCCTCTAGCCCATTCCCTGCCACGTGCAGTCACCACCACTGCAGAGCCTAGGCTGCTTGCAGCAGACAGCAGGCAGGCTGCAAACAGCTGCATCAGGGTCCAGAGCCAGGTCTGACTCTGCGGCAGCAGCGGCTGCACGTGCAGTTCAGGGTACATGAAGGGGTTGCACTGTCCCAGGCCCCTGCCCTGCCGTGCACCCTGATACACAGATGCAGCCACTGCCATAGATCTGGGCTGGGGAGCTGGACCCTTCTGGCTGCCTGCCACACCTGGCCCTGGCTTTGGGCAGCTGCTGCCTGCCACAGAGCCCAGGCTGCTTGCAGCAGGGCTTGCGGCCTCCCTGCCTCCTGCTGCAAGCAGCCTGGGCTCTATGGCTGGCAGCAGCCACCCAGAGCTCGAGGCTGCTGTGGTGGGCCAAAGAAAATGGCCTTACATGCCATGCTCTGGCATGTGTGTTGGGGGGTTGCTGACCCCAGTGCCATGAGATGATGACTTGAAATGAACTAAAACAGATTCTTTCCGCTAACTTAAATGCCAGCTTATTGGTTTTGTATTGGGGCACTAACAAATTGGAAATCTAGTCTTAACAGTATACTATTTTTGTTGTCCAGAAATGGCTGATTCAATTGCAGATACAAAACAAAACAACACAACTGAGTTCCAGGATAAATGAGATGGGAAATTCTTATGGTTTTCTGGTGGGGTAAATTAGGAAACATTTGGAAGATATGTTAGACAGCTTGACTACTCAGAATTCTATTTTTTCCAATTGTAATATTAAAGAATGTATTTAATTTGTTCGCATAAATCCAGCTTTTGTTCTCAGCACTTCCGCACTCTAGATTTTCACATACAATGCAAATAATACAATAGCACATTGCAAAGACTGCATCTTTAAATAGAAACTAATTGAATATAGTACCTTCAAGTTCTAAAAGGTAGAAATGCTTATCCCTTTCCACCTAAACCCACTGATCAAAAGCTTTCACTGAAATATAAAAACTAATCCTGATTCAGGTTTCAAAATTTACTTTTATTTTAGGTTTGAAGCCTGGGTGTAACTAACCATGTTACTTAGGTCCAGGCTACACTGCAAAACCTACCAGGTTTTCTGTATCAAGTTAAAACAGTTATTCAACAACACTGATCACCAAAGGATTTGTATTGCTGTGTAAATGGGATAGTGATCAGGTTCCAGGTAATTTCTGGGGACTTTAAATCCATTTGTGAATTTTGCTAGATCCCATTTACACTGCAAGAGAGTCATATCAATATGGAAAGAAAAACAGTATTGCAACTGGATTGCCTTAACATGGTTGACCTTGCACCTGAGATGAGATTCCTGTCCTGTCCAGGGACTTGAGCCTAGGCTTGGCCTTCTCTGTACACAAGCTATACCAAATGAACTAAGGGATTTAGAAATGGATGCAGTTAATCAGTGCATCTCCCTTGTGTGGACAGTCTTTTAGCAGTTTGAGTGCCTTATGCTGATTTAGCTGAGGCTAACTTTTTTTTCTGACTTAAATAGATTAAGTCAGAAAAAAGGCCCTCTTAAACTCATTAGTCTTTCTGAGCAAAGGCAGTATGCCAGTTTGAACTGGTATAACATTTGTTTGGTGAACAAAATCACTTCTCATGCCTTTACCTCTTCTTTGCACAACCCAAGCATGTCCAGTTTTACTACCAAATTAACTCACCTCAGTTTGAATGAGTTGAAACCCTTTTAAACAGCTGCCTGAAACCCACTAAAACTGTAATTCCCATAACTGAAATTAGGTGTGCAAATACACTCATTTTGACCCTACATGCAAGTTGCTTCTCATTGGTCCTTCAGGTAAAAGTCCTCCCATATACCTTTAAGACAGTGATTTAGTCAAGACCCCCCAGACTTTTCTCTCCCCATCTCAAGTGTCTACCTCATGTTTGTAATTGAAATGTAATGCAAGGTTTGTTGACTATCTAAACTTGGCCAAGCAACACAGCCTGACAAGGAAAAGAACATCTACACTTGGGGCAGACTCCCTGCAGATTTAAGAATGAATCGTGTAGATTGGAGAAAAAATAATAACTTCTTTACTCTTCTGAAATCTGTAATCAGCCCCCCAATTTTGATTCCTTATCTACTTTTGATATCCTTATCCCTCCATTCCAGTTGAAGGAATTGACTCTTCTGTCTGTTATTTAACAGACAGATTTTCAAAAATTGGGCACCTTTTTCTCCATGAACTTTGATTTCTATTTTTTATGGTTTCTGTATTCCTTATGCTTACAGATTTTAGCAGGCACCTTTAATCTGGAACTTTATCAAAGGATTTATCAATTTTATGATCTTGGTGTTATTATCTACTGTAACTATTTCCATTACAATGGGGGACAGAAAAAACCCTCTTCAATTCATGAAGCTTATACAGTCTTATTAGATTGTTATTGTATTGTGACTTGGCATTTCAATTTTTAGTAAATTAGAAATTCTAAGCAAGCTGTTTTTGTAACAGCTGCCTCTGAGTTAGGTAAGTACAGAATTATCCCCTGTTTACAAATGGGAAAGCAAGCCTGGGAGTCTTCACTCAGAGCCACAAAGAAAATCAGTCATAGGTGAGATTAGAAACTAGTATGGTCAGATTGCGCTTTTGAGAAAACATGGAATGTAGGAGTCGTCTTAGCATCAGCTGTCAGTTTAATTTCCTGAAAGTGCATTCTGGTTGTCTTTGCTCTCTTGATTTTTGTGAGAGTTTTTAAATTGCTTCAAGAAATTTAATTCATTCTGTCAACACATTTATTTTCTCAAGATATTCTTTTCTAGCAATTTATAATTGAAAAATTTAGCTGTATAAAAATGTTTAGATGTGCTTTTCTGTTGCTTACTGGGCCAGTACTAAATTGGAATAGAAAGTAGTTTGCAACCCCATGTTGCTAAAGTCACCATTATGTTCCTATTTGTTATCTGCCAAAGATTCAAATATGACCATTTTAGTCTAACATAATTTCAGACCTAATTAAGTTTTTGTTCTCTGGCTGACTTAGTGGCCTTAGAGAAAAACGTTTATACTGCCTTTTAACCTGCATTTCCATAGCAGTATTGGGGTGATAGTCACAGGATCTGGTAAAAATGGCTTTCCTTATAAAGCTGTAGAAATAGAGCAGTCATCTAGCAAAGAGCCTGTTCTCCACTTTTCAGTGGATATCAGAGATACCCAGGTAAAACCATATGAAATATGTACGATGCAGATAAACATGAACTTTACATTAGGATGTCTGTGCAAATTGCCAGCCATGTACAGAGGTTTTGATGGTGCTCTTTGCTCCCATCTATGGTAATCATGTCTACTTGTGACAGACTTCGCTCTGAATAAATGGGAAATCATTATTATAAAGTCACTGATGGGAAAGGCTTTCCTCCAAACAAGTCATTAGCTCATGTAGGCATTTAATGCAAGGGTCTATAAAATAAATGTCTGTGGGACTGCAGACATAGGTTTTGTCATTCGTATTGATAGCACTGCCTAAAGAAATATAAGTTGGGGGGGTGTTTAAAGTACAGTAATCGCATGTTAAGATTCTTTTAGGTGCTGCTTTTGAACTTATGGGCTTAATTCTTAAATGCTGAAAATGAAATTGCACACATACCATATGGCCATGTTATAGATCACTGTTTCTCAGCCCATGGGTCACGACCCAAAAATGGGTTGCAAGAATATATGAAAGGGTTGCAAACAAACTTTCAAGCGGATCAACAAACTTTAAAAATAGATTCTCCTTTAAAGGAGAAAAATGTGGGAAACTGTGGCTTTTCCCTCACAGGCTGGCAGAGTTCCAGCCTGCGAGGGGCTACTGAGGACCCCAGTGCTCCACACACTGGGGGGCTGAGGGTAGGGGGCAGTAGGTCGGGAGTGAGGGGTACTGCGTTGCAACTGGCCACCAACATTTACAAATGGGTTCTGGTCTACAAAAGGTTGAGAACCATTGTTATAAATAACCACTTTCACACCAGGGCTTAATTTGACCCAGGAAGTGGTATCCTTCTATAAAGGTCAGTGGAGTTGCACCTACAGTATAATCTTTTGAGACTGGAAGAATGTATGTTAGGGGTGCGGAGTGTTATCACAAAAATTTAGGGTACTACTGAATAAAAAGTCGTGTATCTCAATACCAAAAAAGGGGATTTAACAGGACAAAATCATCATTTTTCTTGTTAGAAATACTTATTTGAACTTGAAATGTGGTGTGTGTGCTTTCAGGAAGGTGAGCCTTCTGGAAAGAGGAAAGCTGAGGATGACGACAAGGCAAATAAGAAGCACAAGAAATACGTGATCAGCGATGAGGAGGAGGAGGATGATGATTAATTGTCCTGAAGCGTGGAAGTTTTTTATATATATATATACTGTACAGTTCTTTTACAGCAAAGATGTAAGTAAACATGAGGTTATTTTGATAAAGAAAACTCCCACTGAACTCTGTAGTTCTGGTGTGAATAAAGTTCTCTAATATCCTTTAATGTATGGGTAAGTTTGTCAGCAGATACAGCGTCGGAGCATTTAGCCCCCTTTTTCCTTCTAGTACAGTACATTTCCGCTTGTACAGTTTTGTGGTAACCAACTACTTTTATCAGTCTCATCCTTATTAATAGATTTATCAGGGATAATTACTGTGGTGATCATTTAAGATGCCTAAATGTTGCTAACCATTCCCTCGTTAAAAATAACATGATGCAGCTTTCTGGCTGTTTTTGTATATATAGCTTCGCAAAATGTTAATATTGCTGTGCAATACTGGCTTTTCTGGGCATTCTTTTCTCACTGGACTGTGGGCAGTAAATTACTATTCTGATAGGTTTTGATTAACTGAAAAATATTTCCAAGCAAGTATTCTGTGCCTAAGCAGTATTCTTCCATGAATGTGTAGGTCTGTAAGTTGGTTGCATTGAAACAAAAATCCTGTCTTCTGTTTGACAGCAAAAATCAACTCACATGCCACATTGGAGAGGTCAATGTCAGAGGAAAAATACCATCTTTATTTCCTTGTAAATATCTGTCTGTCTCTTGTAGAGATCAGGGTGTTCAAACTTTACAAGAGTCAAAATGCAAGAATATATACTAAACAAACAGTTTTGAAAATTATACAGTCTTCGGGGTACTGGAAATTATAACTTGTGGTTGTTTTGTTTTCATAAATAGCTACAGCCAACTAGAGAAATATTGGAAGGCAATGTCTTGGAAGAACTGAGGGATTTTTGTGTTGTTTTTTTTAGTTCGTGACCTCTACATATCTTATCATTTGTTTGATTACACAATGTCAGTTATGGAGCCAGGCAAGGATACAAATAAAAGGAACATCTAAAATCTTCCTCACTTGAATTTTTTATAATTGGATACTTCAGAGTAGCTGCCTGACATCTAGTATAGTGGTTTGATCAGTGTAGATATTATCTGTGTCTTGGTTTTTTAACTGACTTTTTGTGGAGCTTGGGTGAAGTTGAATGTGATGTGTAGCAAAGAGAAAGATAACTTAAAGCCTTCCTTAACTGAAACCCATGAAGTAATAAATTCACCTTAACAGCATGCAATCTTTATGTGTTGTGAAAGAAGATAAAGGTTTACATAAGGTTGTCTTTCCTAATTAGTGGTATGTTTGGAGTGAAGAAGAGAATAGGGACCTGCCTCCTGAAATTGTAGTCTTGGCATGCCCTTTTAAACTTTGAACTTGTTTGTGCCAGCTTGATTAATCTAGCACAGGGTGGGCAAAATACAGCCTGCGGGCCAGATCTGTCCTGCCAGACCATTCTGGCCAGCCCACAGGGCCCCTCCAAAAAGTTTATTACAGGCCAACAGTTGCCCCTCAGAAAGCCAGCGGGAGGTGTGGGCTTTCAGAGGTTGCGTGCCATCAAACTGGGTGAACTCTGTGCCTCCACCTCCAAGGGGCTCCCAGCACTCCAGCTGGTAGCCCCATATGGAGGCACTGAGTGCAATGGTGAGTAACTGGACAACTGGTGAGCAAGGAGGGGAGCTCCTGCCTGCAGTGCCAGGAGCCACACTTGGCAGCAGGGAGCCGCCTGGCCTGATGGCACATGTGCAGGGTGAGGGAGTTTGTCAGTTGTGGGGGGAGGGATGAAGCCCGAATGGGAGGGGAGGGAGAGGGGAATTATCTTTTAATTTTCCAGACCCCTGCTGGCCTGAATGTGTGACTGCTCCAAAGTTGA